AACCATGCCCAGGGCGCTGAAGTACAGGGTCCTGCCTCCATCTGGTGGTGGTGTCTCAGGACCATCTGCTGCTGCCTCCAGCAGTGCTGGGTCAGAAATGCTGGGCTGGGCCTGCAGGAACTCCCCAGAGAATCGAGCAAAGCTGCACACACCCACTTCTGGGGAGAACAGGAGAAGGTGTTTGGAGGTGGACTTGGCCCAGGAGCCCTCAGTGGAACCACCCCAGCCTTTCTCTGTAGCACAGCACGGTCAGAGGAGGAGCCTGCTGCATGCAGCTGGCCTTGGCTACAGCCTCCTGGTCCTCAACATGGGTTGAGTTCAGATATACACAGGTGACACACACCCCTGCACCCCTGGGCCTTCGGGCCATGCCACTCTGCCTCCCAGCAGCTGCCACGGCCCCTTCTCACCATGCCCTGGAAGGAACCTGCCGAAGGTGAAAGTCCAAGCATCGTGGGGGTACAGGTCCGCCAGCGTGAGGCCCAGCACACACAGCGCATCCCCCGGCTTGTTGTTCTTCAAGAACGACAAAATGCCATCTGCAGGAAGAGGGCTGGAGGTCAAGGTGGGCGGGTAGGCCTCCCGGTCTGTCTCTTAGCCCAGGACCGGCCTCTCCAGAAGCCAGAAGCTGGCTGGGTACATCTGGGGTGAGACCCAGAACCCAGAAGAGCTATGTGAGGCTGCATGAGGACCGTGGACCTAGCCTGGATCCCCCACACCAGTCGCTTTCTGGATGTTTCCTGGACCAAGAGAGCTGATCCGGACACTGCAGGCCCATCACTTGCCACTTGGGGAGGCTGAAAGACAGCTGGGCTGGGGAAAGGCTCAGTCAGTAAGGTGCTGTGCAAGCATGAGAACCTGAGTTTGATTCCCAGAACCCACATTTTAAAAGCTGAGCCAAATAAAAACTAAAGTTTCAAAGGGGGATGGGGGAGCTGGAGGGATGGCTCAGCTGTTAAGAGCACTGGCTGCTCTTGCAGAGGACCTAGGTTCAGTTCTCAACACCTACATGGCAGCTAACAACCATATCTAACTCTAGTTCCAGGGAATCGGACGCCCTCTTCTGGCCTCTGTAGGCATTGCATGCAGACAAAACATTTATACACACAAAGCAAAAATAAATAATTTTTTAAACGCTGGGCCCAGATGCATGTGCCTATAATCCCAGCACTAGGGAGACAGAGATTCTCACTGGCCAGCCTAACTGAATCAGTGTGTCACAGGCCAGTGAGAGACTATCTCAAGAAACAAGGTTGAGGGGCTAGAGAGATAGTTCCGCAGTTAAGAGCACTGGCTGTTCTTGCAGAGAACCTGGGTTTAGTTCCCAGCATCCACATGGTAACTAACAACCATCTGTAACTCCGGTTCCAGAGGATCCAACACCCTCTTCTGATCTCCATGGCACTGCACGACACAGGTGCACTTACATACATGCAGGCAATACACTCATACACATAAAATAAAAATAATTTAAAGAACAAAGTTGATATTGACTGAGGGAAACCCCACAGGTTGACATTCTCATTCTCTCTCTCTCTCTCTCTCTCTCTCTCTCTCTCTCTCTCGCTTGAGAGGCAACTGGACCACAGGAGGAGATACCCACATCCCAGTCCCCCAGTTCCTCAACATGAACACGTTACCTCAACAGCAATAGGTCCCTTCAGGTATGATTACAGCCAGCAAGGCCCAGGAAGGTTGGGAAAGGGTACTGCAGTGACTGGGGGTAGAGTTGGGGGTGGGGGATAGTAGAGACCACTAAAGGGAGAGAGTGTCCTGGGGAAGTTTGCTATGGATACCAGCAGAGTAGATGGGGGCTACAGGCATCAGTGTGAGAGAAGGGACCAGCTGAAATGGGGTCTGCGAGCCACTGCTAAGAGGACATGGAGTGGGGTCCTATGTGGCTCTGGCAAGACACTAGGAGGAAAGACCACATTGGAGAACAGTGCAAGGGAGTGGGTGGATGTGGGGGAAGAGGGGGGAGCAGGAACTACCAGGGCCTCCATTTAGCATTTTAGGACATGCATCTCAGATATCCCTGCCGTGGACGGGTGGTATAAGCAGGTGTGGATCATGCAGTAGGGAGGAGGGTGATGGGGAACCCTGAAGTCCAAGTGTGGGAGGGACTAGTGACCAGCACAAGATGGTCAGCAGAGTCAGGAGGACAGAGACAGAGCAGGAGATGGAGAAGTAGGAATCAGAGGCGTGTGTTCCTGAATGAGAGTACGGGCCAATGCGGCTGCTGGGAACAGCAGGGTGAGGTGAACTGCTTTCTGACAGAGATGGCCTGACCACACACAAAACTTTAAATGTCTCAAAAGATAAAATGAAAAAAATAAACTGATTTTCACAGTATGTTTCACTTAAAATATGCCCACAAAAAAATTTTTTTCATCCAGACATGGTGACACACACCTTTAATCCCAGCACTCAGGTGGCAGAGGCAGGAAGATCTGTGAGATCAGGCCAGCCTGGTCTACATAGCAAATTCCAGGCACGGTGGGGCTACAGAGAGACTCTGTTTCAAAAAAAAAAGTTGTTTTTTCAGTGCTTTAGCTCTGAGCCACACCTCCAGCCCCCCACTGGGGGACTCTAGGCAGGGGCTCTATCACTGAACTACACCCCAGCCCCCCACTGAAGGAGTCTAGGCAGGTGCTCTACTACTAAGCCACACCCCCAGTCCCCTTTTTAGTTTTTCAAACAGTCTTACCGTATAGTCTAAGCTCAAATTCACCCTGTAGCCCAGGCAAACCTAAAACTTTTAATCCTCCTACCTCAGCCTCCCAAATAGTAGAATGGTAGTCCTGCACTACCAGGCTCAGCTGAACCTTAGGTGAATCAGACACCTGCTGAGAACGCAGGGCCAGAGGGGCAGGTACCACGCTGGGCTGTTCCTGAAGTGGGAAGCAGACTCTAGAGTGACTGGGTCCTGCTCTGCCTGCCAAAATAGGGCTCTGCACCCAGCATGGGATGCAAACTGCCCCCCACCCAAGGGTCACAGAACAGTCCAGAAAAGCAATATGCCTTTGTCCCAGACAGGGCCAGGCGGAGGGAAGAGAAAAATCCCTCCACAGAAAAACATCCCAGGACACAGTTTCTTCTAGAACTAATTTTTCAAAAACCGTTCAGTTAGCACATGCCTTTAGTCCCAGCACTTGGGAGTCAGAAGGAGGCAGATTCCTGTGAGACCAAGGCCAGCCTGGTCTACATAGTGAGTTCTAGGCCAGCTGGGGCTACAGAGAGACAGGGGTCTCAAAAAGACCCTAAGTAAAGATCCAAGAGTGGGCTAGAGAGATGGCTTAGTGGTTGTTTAAGAACGCTTGCCGCTCTTGCAGAGAACTATGTATGGTTCAGTTCCCAGGACCCATATCGGGGGGCTCACAATCCCCTGTAACTCCAGTCCCAGGGTATCTAACACCCTCTCCTGGCTTCCTTGGTACTGCATGCACCTGGAGCACATAAACTCACATAGGCACATACATATACACATAAATATAAACAAATCTTTAAAACCATAGGGAGGAAGCTGGGCATAGTGGCACACCCCTTTAAATCCAGCACTCATGAGGTAGAGGCAGGTGAATCTCTATGAGATCAACGCTAGCCTGGTCTACATATCAAGTTCTAGGCCAGCTAGGGCTACAAGGAGACCCTGTCTCAACCCCCCCCCCTGTCCCCCGCCAATAAATCTTAGGGAAACAGAGAGATGGATGTTTACAACTCACTAGCCAACAACCAGATCAGTAGCCAGTCAGCCTAGCGTACTTGGTAAGGTCTAAGCCAGTGAAGGACCCTGACTTAACAAAACAAGGTGGGTGACTTCTGAGGAATGACACCTAAGGTTGTCTTCTGGCCTCCACACACATGCACACACATGTATGCAGGCAACATGCACACACCCAAAAAACCCAAAACATTCCTTCCCTCTCCAGGGCTCCTTCCTCCCAACTTTTCCTTCTAGAAAGATCTCTTGCTGTACAGCAGAGTCCCAGGCTGTTCCCCATACCCTGACCCACTCACCTGTGTGAAGCTGGAGCCCGTCAGAGTCCTGTCTGGGCCGTGAGAAACAGTGGATGGAGGTGGAGGCCACTGAGGGCAGGCACTTGACTTGCAGGCCCAGGAAGAAGGCCTCGGCACAGCTGCACAGGTGGTCCAGCAGGGGGCACCCCGCCAGCCCTTCACTCAGATCTAGAGGCATAGAGCCATCGGCCCACAGTGACCTCCTACCCAGTGAGCCCTGCCCACGCTGGGATCACAGTCCTGTGTGATAACTCAGGATAGGGTGGAGTCAGATAAGCTGACCAGCCGAGGGCAGCTGGCATGGGTAGAAAAAGCAAAGAGCTCACAGGGCTACAAAAAAACAAGCCTGGCTAAGGTAGAGGGGCACCAGCTGACAGCAGTGGGCAAGGCCACCCAGGGCAGGGAGCAACCACTGGAGGGAAGGGCACAGGCTGATCATGCTACAACACTGGACACAGACCTAGGACAGAAACCAGGAGTGTTGCAGGGTCCCCAGACCGACAGCCTGGGTCTCACGCCAGAGCTGTTAGAAATGCAGGTTCAGAGCTGGGGAATATGGCTGGGTTGATAGAGAGCTTGTCTAGCATGCACAAGGCCCTGGGTTCCAACCCCAGCACTGCATAAACTGGGCGTGGTGGTGCCTGCCCATCATCTCAGCACTGAGGAGGTAGAGGCAGGGGGATCATGAGTTTAAGGTCATCCTTGGCTAAATAATGAGTTTGGGGCCAGCTTGGACTACATGAGACCCAATCTCAAAAATAAAATAAGGGCTGGGCGTGGTGGCACACGCCTTTAATCCCAGCACTCAGGAGGCAGAGTAAATAAATAAATAAATAAATAAATACAGTGGCTGGCAAAATGACTCAGCAGTTAAGAACACATACTGCTCCTTCAGAGAACCAGAGTTCTGTTCCCAGCACCCACTTCAGTCAACTCAACAACAGCCTGTAAGTTCGGCTCCAGGGGATCTGACCCTCTGCCCCCGTGGGCATCTGCACTCACCTGTGCTGTCACATACATACAATTGAAAATAAAAATAAATCTTAAAACAATAAGAAAGGGGGTCAGGGGCAGTGGTGATGGTGCACACTATTAATCCCAGCACTAAGGAGACAGAGGCAGGTAGATCTCTGTGAGACTGAGGCCAGCCTGGTCTACATAGTTTTAGGCCAGCTGGGGCTACAGGGAGACCCTGTCTAAATGAAGGAAAGAAGAAAACTAGGAAGGAAGGAAGGAAGGAAGGAAGGAAGGAAAGAAGGAAG